GGAGTCCTCATGCACCCTCCCCTTCCTCTGCCTGGGGAGTGGGGCCAGGCAAGGCCGCACTGGGTCCCCAGGCAGGAGGAGCAGATGGAGGCAGCGGGGAGAGGGCCGCAGAACTGAGGGTGGAAGCAACAGAAAAGAGGGAACGGAAGTTACCCTAGCAGATGAGAATTTCTAAAGGAAAACCAGGCAGTGGGTGGCACTGAGGGGAAACTGAGGCCTACTGTGGCCCCGGGTTCTCACCCCGCGTAATGGTTCAAAGAAGCTGCGAGCGCATTGCCAGAACCGGCTGGGAGGCTACACAGGGGCTTCCGGATGGCGGTCTCCCAGTCGGGCCTCTCCATAAGCCCGTTCACCACCTGTTGGAGCAAGGGTGGCCTCAGCCGGGAGCCCCCCATCGCCACCCACGTCCAGCCTCCCGGTGCAGGCCTCACCTCGTGCATCAGCCCGTCTCCGGACATGACCACCAGCGCGTCCCAGCGGCCCAGCTCCTCCGCGCGCACCAGCTCGCGGGCGTGGTTCCTCCGTTCTGGGAGCGGGGAGACGAGCGGGCTAAGGGGGCGGTCCCCAGCCGTGCAGGCTCAGGTCCACACCGCCCCTCCCGGGAAGGCACTCACCCGTGAGCAGGAGCCTGAAGGAGACGTCGGCCTGCGCCAGCAGGGGCTGCACGTGGCTCCGGAAGAGCTGCAGGGCCTTGCCCTTGCCGCCGCGCGGGTTGAGCAGCACGAGCACGCGGCAGGGCCGGGGGAGCAGGTTCTGGGGGCCGCCGGCTGCAAAAACACACCCGAGAAGGCCGCGTCCTCAACCGGCCACTAGGGGGCGCGGGGTCACGGCAGGGGCACTGGGGTGGAAACTGGTGCCTGAAACACCGGGTAATAGATGCAGGAGAGGCTGGCCAGAGGCGNGGGGCGGTGCAGGGCACCCTTGGTATTCCTATCCTTGGTTCAGGCCCAGCCAGTATCTGGGCCCATGGGGGAAAGCGTTTTTCTCCAGCGTCCCCAGCCCCTCTCCTGTCCAGCTGCCTCCGGCCATCCTTCCTGGCCAGAGAGAGAAGGGATCCCCCTACAGCCCTTCCCCGCCGGGCCCCCACAAACCTGGATCCATAACCTCGACCCGCGGCTCCCGCAGCCTAGGGCTCCCCAGCGCCGTCGGGGCGCTGCCCTCGGCGGTGGCTCCTGCCTTCAGCTCCTTATCGGTGTCGCCCAGGCGGGCGTCGCGGTGCCGGCTGTGGGGCTCGCCCTCCCTGCCCGGAGCCCGGGCTGCGGGGGCCCCCGCATCATTCCCTCCGGCTGCCGGATCTGAGGAAGAGGAGACGGCGCTGGCGGAGTCCGGAGCAGCTCCCCGAGGTGCGGGGCGCCCGGCCAAGTCCTCGGACCACCCGCGGGGCACAGCGTGCTCCGGCATCGCTGGAAGCTCGGGGGTTGGAGACTTCGTTTTTGGAGAGACCCGGAGAGCCAAGGCCCGGTGACACCGAGGGCGCTCCGGTCCCAGAACTGAGCTGCCACCTGCAGTGCCGAAGGGTCTCCTCTTGGGGCCTCGCGTTCCGGCCCCCGACGGATGAGTCAGAGCCCGGTGGCTCTCGGTCGGACCAGTCCCTCACCACCCCCACGCGCTGCCAGGGGGAGGGGAGTCCAGCGGGTGTAAAAATCCCAGAACTTGAGCGGACGTCGCGGGGCACGAAGTTTGGGGCGAGCCATCCCAGCCCCGAGCCATTCCGGGCGCCGGGTCCTCTACCCCAGCTCCAGAATGGCCGGGGTAGCCGCGCACCTTCACTGGCCCGGCTGCGCCGGGGCGCGCGCCGCGATCGTGGGAGCAGCGCCGGGATCGCGCGAGGACCGAGCCCAAGCCCGGCCGCCAGCGGCCGCCTCCCTCNCTGCCGAGTGGGCGCGGAGACCACGCAGCGCGTGGCCCAGTTCTCCAGGCCGCCCAGGAGCCGCGAAGCGAGAGAGAACAGGGCGGGCAGCCGGCCCTACCCAGTCTGTCCGGTTTGCTGGGGAGGGGCCACCTCGGTTCCCTACAGTGGCCTAGAGCGGAACGCAGCTCGTCCCGGGCTCAGCCCGAGTCTGAGGCACAACCGTGGCGCGGGATAAACGCGGACTCCACGGCTGCGCCGCCTCTGGCCTCAAACTTTTCGCTCAACTTGGCCGCGCGGGGCCGCGCTGCGGGGACGCGCTGAGCTTCCGCGCGGGCCTGGCC